CGCTCCAGTGCAATCTTCAGATTAGACCTGGTAACAATCTTAAATTAAGACAGATCTGGGTTCAAATTTGATTATTCACAAGCTTGTGGCTGGCCTTAAACAAATTACATAAATGACCTAAGAGGCTCAGATGCAGCAATCATAAAACAGAGATTTAAAAATAAAAAAATAAATAATGGGGTTCTATAACCTCTAGCTCAGTAAAGGGTCATTATTAGGATTAAAGGGAATTGTGAGTGTAAAGGTAAAATAAGTAGGCATTTAATAAATAACCTTTCCTTTTTTCCTACCTACCAATTATCTGCTAATGTCAATAAAATACAAAGAAGTAATCAAAGACTAAGAAAAGTATAATTAGAATAGCAATATAGTCAGTCACAATATTATAAATCAGGCACATAAATGGTGACCACTATAAAACAGAATTATGAAAAATCAACCTTCCAGCATCTGTCTCCTTGAAAATTCCATCCTGATTGGGACACAGTTCACAGCTAGGGGAAACACCACATTTACAGGCATCACAAAACCATGGTTCAGTAGAGTTTTCAGAAGCTGAACTCATAATAGAGTCACTTTCTCCATCAACTCCGTAACAGCCTAAAATGAGAAAAAAAAAAGCATGATTAATATTTCTTTAACTCACATATAAAAGCAATAAAAATGTTAGAAAGTAAAACAAATTCTGAAAAACCAGTCTTTCATAAGAATGATATAAAATGTGTAGTATTAGTATAAAAGTTATCTTAAGTTAGCCTTCACTATACTTAAATGTGGACACAAAGTCTTGCAAATCATCAACAGGTGTGGGACTCGGGTAAAAGAGAGAGTACTTTCCACATTTTAGAGCAAGACCTGGTGAGAGCAAAACCCTGATAATAATGGTGGTGGAGAAATATTGGGAGACTGTGGTACTGCTGTGTAAAGACAGTGGTAAGGTAACTGAAGGAGAAGCTGACTTGTAACTGTAACTTGTGACCTTGCTGGATGATTGAGAAAACAAAAGGCTTCTTGAATTTTTGTTGCCAAACTAAAACCAGATTTTTACTAATTAGGACATTGTGTTTTGCTGTTAATTTGGCTTGGGACTGCTGGACTAAACTTGGACTTGTATTATGAGATATTCTTGGCATCTCCCACTCTCCAACCTCTTTCCCTAGTAAACCTCACTCTTGGTACCACAACTGTGAGTAAAGTCTTTAAGTCAACACCAAATATTGAACCCAATGATTGGTGGAAATAGGTATAGGAGCATAGAGGATGGAGTGTCTGACCTAGCAGCTATCGGTTTGCTTCTATGAGTATTATTATTGATAGGGTAAGTTCCGCTTTATAACATGGGCAGAAATCAGATTTGGCCACCCTCGTGTTATAGCTACTCCATTTACAAAAACAAAACACTAAAATGAAATAATCTAAAAATAAAAATATTTTTTCATTTGCCATGGTATATGCAATGAAATAAGTAAGATTTTTAAAATTCTATTTAGTCTTTAGTGCTTTTGGGAAAGCACAAATGAATGAATTACTGTTAACACCCTGCTGCACACTTTTAAATTGACAACCGTGCTTAAAAACACATTTATTTACCGTCATTTGTGGCAACGTGTTAAAAAGAAATCATATTCATGATTATAGGAAATTATCAAATTCTAAAAGCATCCCAAAGTCATTTCAACAAACTGATTATGGTTAGAAAATCACCATGAGAAACCCCTATCAGTGACTATTTTCTCAATGGGTTCACCATATAGGTAAGTTTAAATATATCCAATATGTTGCTGTTATTTGCTGTTGAGTTGGAAACTACCCATAGCTGACCCTCCAAAGGGTTTTCAAGGACAATATATTGCACAGGAGAAGACTGTCCATCCTTCCCCCCGGAGCAGCTGGTATATTCGAACCACATGCTTTTGAGGTTGCAGCTCAAGTTCTTACTACTAGGCCAACAGAACTCCTTCATATCCAGTACGTTGCACTGTGTTGTTGGGCGCCATACTCACACAGATGATGTAATTATCTGAACAGAGTTTACACTAACCAGAGAAGAAATTGTGCAATACAAACTGGAGAGTACCTTCTCACTACCACCAAAAAATTTTAAAAAGTGAATAAACAACTAAATCAGCCAAAGCACACAGGAAAAAAAATATATAGCATATATATATAAGTACACTGTATTTATAGACACACACACACATTACTGTTGTCAGTAAGTGCCAGTAAGTCGACTAAAACTTACAGTGAACCTGTAAACAACAGATCTGAACCATGTGCTATCTTGCACCATATTCACCACTGTCATCAACAAGCCCACTGTGGTAGTCATTTTGTCAGTGCACCTCAATGAGAGTCTTTCACTGATCTGCTACCTCTCTCTGTACAGTATCTTTCTCCAAAGACTGGTTCTTTAAAATAATGTGCCCAAAATAAGTGAGACAAAGATTCACCATCCTTGCCTCTAAGGAGTACTCTCTGAATAAACTTCCTCCAAGTCAAAATTTGTTCTTTTGGCAGTCATCCATGACCTATTCAATACACCACGCTAACATCTAATACAAGGCACTGGTTATTCTTCTGCCACTGTCCAACTTTCAGATGCATAGGAAGCAACTGAAAATACTATGGCCTGGATCAAGAACCACTTAGTTTATAAACCGTCATCCTTGCTCTTTAGAACTTTGGAAAGGTCCTTAACAGCAGATTTTCCCAATATAACACCTCTTTTGATTTCCTGACTGCTGCTACCATGGGTGCTGATTGTGGATCCAATGAAAAAGGAATTGTTGACAACTTCAATCTTTTCTACATCTACCATGATGTTCAGTGACTGAGGTAATCGGGATGGGTGTGTCAGAGGCAGTGACTGGCACAGGATAGAGCAGGGTTAGGGCCGTACACAGGGTCCCTATGAGTCAACAAAAACAACAACCACCATGATGTTGCTTATTGGCCCAGTGGTGAAGATCTTTGTTGTCTTGATATTGAGATGTAATCCACATTAAAGGTTGTAGTTTTTGATCCTCTGCTCCAAGTGCTTCTCCATCACTTTTCTTAAAGCAAAGCTGTGTCCTCTTGTGTAACAAAAGTTGCTGGTGAGTCTTCCTCCAATCTTGATGCCACATTCTTCTTTATATAATCCAGCTTCTTGAATTATTAGCTCAACAAATAAATAGGTACAGAGTAAGGATAAAACAATAACTCACAGATTTTCTGATTTTAAACCATGCTGCATTCTATTCTGTTTTGACAACTGCTTCTGGGCTTATGCTGAAGTTTTGCACAGACACAAATAAGTGTTCTGAGATTCCCATTCTTCTCAATGTTAGCCATAATTTGTTATGATCCAGACAGACTTTTCATAATCAATAAAAAAATACAAGTAAACATCTTTCTGGTATTCACTACTTTCAGCTAACGTCTATCTGACTTCAGCAGTGATATACTTTATATACTTTATGCCGTGGCCTCTTCTGAATCCAGCTTGAGTTTCTGACAGTTCTCGTCCAAGTACTGTGCCAATTGTTTTTTAATAATGTCCAGCAAAATTTTATCTGCACATGATACTAATGATATTCTTCAGTAATTTCACAGTCTGTTGAATCACTTCTTTTGGGAATGAGAACAAGTACGGATTTCTTCCAGTCAGTTGTCCAGCTAGCTCTCTTTCCCTTTTGTTGGCAGAGACTGGTGAGCACATTCAGGGATGCATCTATTTTCAGAAACACCGCCATTGATTCCTGGGCCTTTCCCCCCGCGCCCCAATCCTTTCAGTATACCTTGAGCTTCTTCCTTTAGTACAACTGTTTCTTGATCATATGCTACTTTCTGAAATGGTTCAGACTGACTAAACCTGTAGAAAGAGACAATGAAGATGCTCAAATTAGTAGTAAAACCAATCTAGGGGCTGACTCTGGAATAGATCATCAAGTACTCATATGCAAGTTCAAAGTAAAAGTGAAGAAAATTAAAACAGGGTCACAAGAACAACAATGCAACTGTGAGCTCATTTCAGTAAAATTAAAGAACATCTTAAGAATAGATTTGAAGCACTGAACACTAGATAAGGTTAACTAATAACTCTAGATTAGGTTAACTAATGATATAAAAAATATCATCCATGAAGAAAGCAAAAGGTCATTACAAAGAAAGATCAAAATAGACGTCAGAAGGGACTCTGAAACTTGCATTGGAACAAAAAGAAGTCAAAATAAAAGGAAGGAATGATGAGGTAACAGATTCTTGTGAGGTACACAAAATTTCAAAAGGCAACTGGAGAAGACAAAGTGTTCTAGTGAAATGTGCAAAGAGAAAGCCAAAAGGGAAGAACATGTTCAGCATTTCTCAAGCTGAAAGAACTCAAGGGTAAATCTAAGTTATCAGTTGCAACACTGAAGATTCTATAGGCAAAATATTTAATGCTGCATGGATAGAAAAAATGACGGATGGAACACACAGTCACTATCCTAAAAAGAACTGGTCGACACTGAACCATTTCAGAAAACAGTATATAATTAAGAACAATTTTCAACAATCAACATTAATTTACTATGTATCAATAATTAATGTCAACGGTGATGTCTATTTTATTCATCTAAGTACTCAATATATTTTAAAAATAACCTATTTTAACCCTAATAATAGAAAGGAAATGAAAGTGTTGGTCTGCTACTATAGCTTACGATGGAGAAGGAAATCTTTGTGCAACCTACTATCTTCTTTTGGAATCTACAAATAAATCAAGACTAAGACCAGACGTGACTACTTGGTTCTCAGGCAAGATAAAATGGAGGCTGACTCCCTTTCTGGGAGCTTCTTAATACAAATAAACTCCATAGCAGTTGGTGGTCTGTGAACACATCCTTTTCATCTTGTCCTGAGCACATTCCCTAAAACTTTATCTAAGTTGTGCTATTCAGCACCTGCAAACCCAACTTCTATATCTGTTCCCATTGGGGAGTAACCAAGGTCCTTCTCCTGAAGCCCAATAGGGGTGCACGGCATTTTGTGGGGGGGGGAAAACTCACTGGCCATATAAAGAACCAACATTCACTACTGAGTTGACCTTGATGTCTTTTTCCATATGAATAAAGAGTTTTCTATCCAATGCCTGTGAGGATTTTTGACCCCTACACGGGTAAACCACTGAATGAGTTATTATTTTCCATAGGCCTCCTAACCTGGTAACAGGTGTCACTATTTGTTCAACAAATTGCCTTAAATTTACTCCATAATTATTGTTCACTGGCTGCTAACCAAAGGTTGGCAGCACAAACTCACAGGAAAAAAATGGGCAGCTTGTTCTCATAAAGATTTACAGCCTAGAAAACCAGAGAGAGAGCTGCTCTGGTTGGAACTGACTTCTAAGTAGTAGATTTGGTTTGGCTCTATTGTGCTAATCAAATATTTCAACATATTACAGATAAATTTTGTCTCCCAGTCAAGATGCTGAAATCCTAACCCCTGTATCTGTCAACAGAATCCTGTTTGGAAAGTTCTCTTATGTTAAAGGCTAGGTTATACCTAGCCATAACTCCTAGAAATAAACCAGTCTGAACTATGTCTTATATTTATTTTTTTTTACTGTATTATTTTTACAT